CACCCGCACACACGCACGCACGCACACACGGCCCCCACCCACATCCACACACCCCACACACACCCACGCTTGCCCGCCAGCCCGCCCCGCACGCACGCACATGCACGCACGCCCACACGCACCCCCACCCCCACACACCCACACACACCCATGCTCCGGCCGCCCGCACGCACGCACTCTTGCTCCCACGCACACACGCACACCCGCCCGCCCCGCCTGCACGTCCACACTCACACACGCACGCACACACGCACGTACCCCCCCCCACACACACACACACACACACGCGCGCGCATGCATGCGCGCACACACGCACACACGCCCCCTCCCACACACCCTCCCGGCCGCCCGGTCGCCCGCTCGCTACGCACGCCCGCACACACTGACACACACACACACACACACACACACACACACACGCCCATGCCCACGCCCACACACACACACACACACACATGCACGCCCTTTTGCCCGCCCGCCCACGCACGCACACACGCCTGGCACACACACACACGACCCCACAGGCACGCTCGCTCGTCCGCAACGCACACGCGCACGCACGCACACGCACGCATGCACTCTTGCACCCACGCACTATTTAACTATTTATCTATTTAGTTATTTAACTATTTATCTATTTATCTATTTATTTATTTATTTATTTATATATTTAACTATGTATGTATTTATCCATTTAACTATTTGCCTATTTATCTATTTAACTAATTTTCTATTTATCTATATCTATATATCTATATACCTATTTAACGATTTATCAATTTATTTAGATAAGTATTTATCTAGTTAACTATTTATCCATTTATCTATTTATTTATCTATTCAGACACACACGCCCGCCCGCTCGCCCACGCGCACACGCATACGCCCTCCCACGCACGCACGCACACACGCCCACACCCACATCCACACACCCACACACACCCACGCACGCCCGCCTGCCCGCCTACGCACGCCCGCACACACGCCCGCACGCACCCCCCACCCACACAACACCCCATGCCCCGGCTGCCCGCACGCACTCTTGCTCCCACGCACGCACACACGCACACCCGCCCGCCCGCCTGCACGTCCACACTCACACGCACGCGCACACACACACACACCCATGTATGCTCGCACGCCCGCACGCACATGCACGCACACACGCACGCACGCACACACCGCCCCCCACCCACCCCACACCCACACCCCCTCCCGCACGCAATGCCCACACACACCGACACACGCACACACACGCCCATGCCCACCCCCCCCCCCACACACACACACGCCCACGCACACACGCCCACTCTCCCGCGCACACACGAACGCACACAACGCCCCCCTCGCCCTGGCCGCCCACGCACACACACACGCCCGCACGAGCACACACACCACGCCACGCCCCCACACACCCCACCCACACACCCACACACCCACACCCACACACCCACGCCCGCCCGGCTGCCTGCCCGCTCGCACGCACGCACACCCGCCCGCCCGCCACGCCCACACACCCCCACCACGCCCACACACCCCCACACACACACACGCCCACGCCCTCACACACACGCACACGCCCACGCGCACACACACGCATGCCCACGCACACGCCCACGCACACGCCCATACTCGCCCGCACACACACACACGCCCACACACACCACCACACGCCCACACACACCCACCCACGCACCGCGCGCACGCACGCACACACATGCCCCCACACACACACACCCACGCCCGGCCGGCCGGCCGCACACGCCCTCACACCCGCGCACGCGCCCGCCCGCCCACGCTCGCACACACGCATGCAGGCACACACACCCGCACACGCCCTCACACCCGCGCACGCGCCCGCACGCATATGCACGCACGCACATACGCAGGCACGTCCACACGCACGCCCCCACACGCCCCCACCCTCACAGCCACACACACCCACGCTCGGCCGCCCGGCCGCCCGCCCGCACGCACACGCACGCACACACCGCACACCTGCCTGCACGTCCACACTCACACACGCATGCACACACGCACGCCCACACGTCCGCACACACACACACACCCCACGCACGCTCGCACTCCCGCACATGCACGCATGCATGCACGCCTGCACGCACGCCCCCACCCACACACCCACACACACACACACACACTCCTGCTCATACGCCCGCACACACGCACACATACACGCACGCACGCTCGCATGCCCACATGCACGCCTACCCACACACCCACACACACACACACTCACGCACACGCGCACACGCATGCATGCACTCTTGCAGCCACACACTATTTAACTATTTATCTATTTAGTTATTTAACTATTTATCTATTTATATATGTATCTATTTAACTATTTATTTATTTAGTTATTTAACTATTTATCTATTTATCTATTTATCTATTTTACTAATTATCTATTTAACTATTTATCTTTTTTTTTTTTTTTGAAAAGAAAATCTTTTATTGAATGAAGGAAAGAGTACAATATGCAGAAAGACATGAAAGACAAGAAAAAAGAAATTGAAAGAAAAATGACAGTACGAACTATGCCCATGGAAAGTTTTTGGACTGTGATCTAGTTGTCATACTATGACGCCTTTTGTTCTTCTGAGTTTTTCTATAGATTTTGAGTTGCGTATTTAGATTATCTGTTGGCAAGCATGTGTCTAGAGTGACAAATTGGGATTTATAGCAAATCTCTCTGTTGAAGCTAGAATCTCGTATGTCTTCGCAGCTGGAGATGGGTAGTCGTCTGTCGCTTTCTGTTGCGTGTCCGAGGAAGTCATCTGAAAAATATGAGTCATCAGAATGATCAAAGCTGTCTGACGCATCTGAGTAGGCTTGAAGCAGCAAATGCTTGGTGTGATTTTTAGGAAGAAGAAGGCTGTTGAAACGTGTGTTCGACTGCTGTGATCTGTGCATTAAAGATTCTTTTGGATATAGATGTGACCTCCTCAGAGTCTGGCGTGTTTGTGGGAACTTTAAGCGTCGGGTCCTCCTGTGCTAAATTAAGTAGACCCACAAAATTAGAAAATATTGTCAGGAAATTGACTAAGCTGGAATTTGTTTGGCCCGTGGGAATGAGTATGGAGCTCCTCTTTTCCTTGGTCAATTTCACGTAGCAACCAGATCTATACAATTCTGAAGAGACCGTGATAGATCCAAATTGGTTTTTTTTGCCTGTTTTTTAAAAAGATCAATACTGGTGAGCTGTGTCAAAAACCGAATGATTTGGGCGTGCAGCTGCAAAATTAAAAGTAATCCTATGCAATAAAGGATTTTTTTATTTCAAAAATGTTAATTTCATTATTTTTTACTGCAAATTTAAAAGTTTTTTATTCAATTTTAATTGAATCAAAACCTTCTTCGCCAAAAAAATTGAATTGATCTATGACCTCGGTTGGATCTATCACAGCCGTGGTGGGGGGTTCGTAGCTGACTAATGTGTCATTTGGAAAGGATTCAGCTAGGCCGCCAGAAAATTTGATTTGAGGGCGTTGATTGGTCCTTTTTTGTCCTTAGCAAGTCAGCCCATGTGAGGGAGTTTGGGAGCTTCGTTTACTTTCAAATTTCCAGACTGTCGTCCGCTAACCTTCTGCGTCTGTGGTCCCTGTGATGGAGACAGTGATGTCTCGCCTCTCCTTCCGGCCAAGTTTCCGGTTGCCGACGTGGATATTGACGGAGAGACTGACGGATTTTCGGTAGCGATTCCCGTAGCAAGTGATTTCAGCAGAGCCGCCGACGGGTTTCCTCGATTTTCTTGTCCGGCCTCTGGATTGATGAGATTTCCAGGTCGAAATTGATTTCCATTCCGGATTCGGCCGGCCCCACCTATTGCGTTCCCTGTACGTTGGTCTTTATTGATGTAGGTTTGTTTACCTCTGGAACCATGAGAGTAATACGAACGATTCTGCTGGTTTTGCCTTTCAACTTTTAACTCCTGTGATTGTTGAGAAGAGCTAGGAGGATAAACCTCCATGTCTAAGAAGAAAAAACGATTAGCCTTACCTTCTGGCTTGGCATTGTCACGATAGTGCTTCGTAGATCGCTGGGTGAGAATAGGTTCTTGATTGGAACGGCCACTGGGACGCCATCGTTTGTGGCGTACAATGCTCCAAGAGCTTGCTGGGGTCCTCTGCGTTTAGCCTGGTGGGAGCAGTTGTGTGACACCGCACCCAAACGTCCTTGAAGATTTGATTTAAATATTCAAAGTTTATGTATTGGATTTCTGATTCCCAAACAATTGTAAAACGATTAATGTTTTACGCAATTAATGATCGAATATTGTACTGTTCAAACTCGTACATTAGTGTCGGGTTTTGAAAATACTTATTCGGGACTTATTAATAAATAAAAGAGCCCAACATTATCTAAATAGTGATACATAATCTTTCAAGACAATTTGAGGAAGGTCGGGCGGCCCCAAACATTATTTTGGGCCCAACCTGCTAAAAATAGCAAGTATTCGAGAATGGCGTTCTAGACCCACTCGGGGGTGACCCACACGGCTAATAGCCCAATAATATGTATGACAAATGTCAAATAAGTGATAGAATGATTAAAGAAAAATACAAATGCCTATAACCCCATCTTTGGCATTATTGAGCTAAATAATGGGAGTAGGATTTTCCTTCTATAATATCCATCAAGTAAATTATTGGGATGAGCCTACACATATTGGAGATCAATAATGTGATTTAGGAAGTTGACTTGTTCTAAATAAATTAGGATGAGTACAAAAAGACATCTTTTGACAAAGATAAAACAATAGGACCCATTTTCCCCCATTTTTGGAAGTATTGGTAGATAATTTGGATCCCAAAATGATTGGGATCAATTGGGAACCACTCCACATGATATTAGTACCTGCAAGACAAATAAAAATGGGTTAGGAGACTTACCTTGGCCGGCCATTATGGAGGAGAGATGCACATGACTTGATAAGAATCAAAGTTTGGGCCACCACTCTTATTTTCGCACAAATTGGTGTGCTGTTTGTCTCCTCTCATTATAGGAGCTATCCTCAACCAAATAACGTGTATGAGGTGTCCTTGGATAGACCTTGAAGTGTAGTTTCATAATTGAGTGGTCTTTGTTCGAGTAGAGAGAGCTTATCTTACAAAAATCGAGCTGGAGTGAGTGGTGGTCTGTGAACTCGAGCTGTGAGAGTGCTGAGACTGTTTGGTTGATATCTCGAGTTTTACCAATTCAATTAAGGCGTGTGAGATACCAAAAGAAATCTCTCAAGACGAGGAATCCGTGAAGGTCTGGTTTGCATCAATCGGAGTAGAGGAAGGCTTCCAAATCGTCCGAGCAGAACGCGACCTCGCAGGAACGGATTTACTCTTCTAAGTGAGTTGTTAATCCCAAAACCTTTCCATTCATTTTCCAAAGGATAAGAACGATTGGTGGGACTATTATACACTACTCCAAGTGTATAAAACGTCACTATTAAGTTATTTTATTGATGTAAAGGTTAGATACTAACCTAGATGCAAATATTGGAAAACTAGGAATCGAGTTAGCCGGAAAACACTCGTTCTAGGGGCTGTTTTCGTATCAACGATTAGGGGTTGAAATAGCAACTTGAGGAGGCTGTTTAGCACCCATTTTCAAGCAAGGAACTAGTTCCCAATCTTCCTTGGCCGAGGCTTTGGTCATTGGATCGAGGAGGAAGGTTTTAAAGCTCATTTGAGGTGAGGATCGACATCTAGTTGCTTACAACTTGTAGGTTAAGCATGAGATTACCTAAATGCCCAAATAATGTTTTCCATGGATTATGATGATAAATTATTGATGGAATATTGATCTATTTTCCAAAGAATGAAATGAGAAATGATTTGGCAAAGTATTGATAAAAATGGAGTTAAAAGAACTATTGTGTGAAATAGTCATTTTACTCATGTGTGAATTGTGTAGATACATAAATGATTATTTATGTATTACATTGAATGATTAAGTTGCTGCTACATATCTCTAAATATGTAGGGTTTTATAAATGGAATATATGATGGATAAGAATAATCTTAATAGTATGGAAATACTAGTTAATGATTGTTGTAATTGTTAAGGGAATTGAATCTAAGGATTTGATTATAATTGATGTACTTGATTGTGATGCAAGTGACAAATTTGATGTAATGTGATGCTATGACCATGGTTGGGCAGTCCGTAGGGATGTCCCAAAATAGATTATTGATATTACAATTCTAGGCATAGTGAGTGCTTAGGAATTGGGGTCTATGCCAATGTAAGGAGATGTACTTGAGCCCGTGCTCATAGAATTGCATTGGGTAGACATGATGAGGTGATTGTTGTGCATGGTGATGTAGTCGAGTTGAACTCGAGAAATGCACGGTGGAGTAGTTAGCTTATGTTAATTAAGGTGCATGGTGATGTAGTCGAGTTGGACTCGAGAAATGCATGGTGGAGTAGTTAGCTTATGTTAATTAAGGTGCATGGTGATGTAGTCGAGTTGGACTCGAGAATGCAAACATATGTGTTAGGGTTGAACCCTATGTATTATTGTGACTAGGGGTCACGGGATTTTGGGGTATGTTTGATAAACAAACCTTGGGCCTACGGGGCCGACTACTTGACTTTATATATAAAGTAAGTATATTTTAAAACGGGGTAACTTGGGGTTACGGCCTAGATTATATTATCACCCTATTTGAGGGTCTTGTGTTTGAAATACTGGTTGTATATCTATTAGATGCCATCCACACCAGCACTTTATAGCCCTATAGAGTGCTGACCCCTTCGGGGGCGTCCCACCACCATTTTTCAGGTTGAGGCTAGAGCTTGCTTCCTGTGCTCGTTGCTTGAGAGATCATATAGGAGGGAAGACTTGGTTCGTGCTTCCTCCATTCTGTTTTTAAACATTAATAAACATGCTCATGGATATTTTTACTATAGAGCCTGCGTGCTCATGAATAGCCATGTGTGGCCTTTTGTTTTAAACAATGTTTTCCGCTGCGTTATGAATTACTTATTATGTTTGTTTATGGATGTACATGTGTGAATGATATTCAAGACGCCTTGTATAATATGAATGTGTTGGACTGCGGTTGACTATTCGTATTGTATGGCGGGTTGTTGACGTGTCCGGATAGGTCCGGGGGCGTGACAAGTTGTTCGTTCCTGGTGCTGATACTGCTTGCTTTCTTCGAAGGGATGATGGATTGGATACAAATCATGGTAGTACCAATCCGGCTTGAAATCTGGGCACGTTTCATAGTACCAATTTGGATTGTGATATTGGTTGAAGCAACTCCTTGCTACTGCTCCAGTGTCCTTGGGTCTGCTTATAGAACATCCTACGGGATGAGAGAACTGATACTGATCGCGGCAACCTGTGCTGAAATGGGGAGAATTCCAGCAACAGCAGAAATGATTTCTATTGATGTTGCGGTAAGGATTCCGGCGTTGATGCCGGAAATCCATTTGGGAGTTAGGACTTGGTCGGATTTTTAGTGAGATGAGGGTGTTTCTCTCTCATCTTATCCAGTAAAAGTAGTTTACCTTATGCATATTGCATAAATGATGACCATTCATTTAACTATTTATCTATTTAACTATTTATCTATTTACCTATTTATCTATTTATCTATTTATTTATTTATTTATTTATTTATTTATTTAACTATTTATGTATTTATCCATTTAACTATTTGTCTATTTATCTATATATCTATTTACCTATTTAACGATTTATCTATTTATTTAGATAACTATTTATCTAGTTAACTATTTATCCATTTATCTATTTATTTATTTATTTATTTATCTATTCAGCCACACACGCCCGCCCCGCCCGCTCGCCCGCGCACACACGCATACACGCCCTCCCACTCACGCACGCACGCACGCACACACGCCCACAGACGCACGCACCCACGCCCGCACACACGCACGCACACACACATGCCCCCACCCACATCCACACACCCACACACACCCACGCACGCCCGCCAGCCCGCCCGCACGCACGCACATGCACGCACGCCCACACGCACCCCCACCCACAAACCCACACACACCCATGCTTGGCCGCCCCGCACGCCCGCACGCACTCTTGCTCCCACGCACACACGCACACCCGCCCGCCCGCCTGCACGTCCACACTCACACACGCACGCGCACACGCACGTACCCCCCCCCCCCCCACACACACACACACGCACGTCCGGACACACTGACACACACACACACACACACACACAAATTTTGAGATCCGTTTCAAACCCCATTTATCGGTCCGGTACCATACCGGTCCGGTTCGGTATCATGCCGGTTCGGTATATTTGCCCACCCCTAACTCCAAGTGTGTAATATGTCCTTGTAAAGGTATTTTATTGGTGTAAAGGTTAGATACTAACCTAGAGCAAATCTTGGAAAACTAGGAAACGAGTTAGCCGGAAAACACCCATTCTAGGGGCTGTTTTCGTATCAACGATTAGGGGTTGAGCTAGCACCTTGAGGAGGCTGTTTAACACTCATTTCCAAGCAAGGAATCAGTTCTCAAACTTCCTTGGCCGAGGCTTTGGTCATTGGATCGAGAAGGAAAGTTTTAAAGCTCATTTAAGGTGAGGATTGACATCTAATTGCTTACAACTTGTAGGTTAAGCATGAGATTACCTCAATGCCTAAAGCATAATTTTTCATGGATTATGATGATTAAATATTGATTAAATATTGATATAGTTTCCAAAGAATGAAATTGGAAATGATTTGAGGACGTATGAATAATATGAGATTAAATGAGTTATAAATGAACTATTTTGTGAAATAGGCATTTTACTCATGTATGAATTATGTGGATACATAAATGAATATTTATGTATTGAGGTTGAATACTTAAGTTGCTGCTACATAATTGTAAATATGTAGAGAATGACAAAGTGAGAGTATTTGTATGATAGCAATTGTAACACTTGAGATTTAATTTAAACGGATTAATAGTACTACTCATACCAACAGAGGTGCATCTCCTTTTAAGGGAGCTCATCACCCAAGAACTCCAAAGTTAAGCGTGCTTGCACGGGAGTAGTCTTGGGATGGGTGACCCCCTGGGAAGTTTCTCAGGGCGCGCATGAGTGAGGACAAAGTGCGCGGTAAAGGCTCGTGGTGGTTTGTGGGGACAGTACTATTGGTCCGGAGTAACTACCTCGGGTCTGGTGGGGCCGGGGTGTTACAAATGGTATCAGAGCAACCCTGCGACAGTGTGATGACCCGTTGGATATCGGGCGGGCACTTAGCGGGGGAAGATTCTGGGATTTGATTGAGATTTGAAATTGGTTCAAGGGCGCAACGAGGACGTTGCGATCCTAAGTGGGGGTGATTGTAACACTTGAGATTTAATTTAAACGGATTAATAGTACTACTCATACCAACAGAGGTGCATCTCCTTTTAAGGGAGCTCATCACCCAAGAACTCCAAAGTTAAGCGTGCTTGCACGGGAGTAGTCTTGGGATGGGTGACCCCCTGGGAAGTTTCTCAGGGCGCGCATGAGTGAGGACAAAGTGCGCGGTAAAGGCTCGTGGTGGTTTGTGGGGACAGTACTATTGGTCCGGAGTAACTACCTCGGGTCTGGTGGGGCCGGGGTGTTACAGCAATAATCTTAATAGTATTGAAATACTAGTTAGTGATTATTGGAAATTGTTGATAGAATTGATCCTAGGGATTGGATTGTATGCAATGCACTTGAATATACCTCAAGTGCATATAATGACTTAGTATGAAGCTAAGGTTATGTTATGGGCAGTCTTTAAGGATGACCCAAGGTAGTTTATCGATATGTCAATTCTAGGCATATGTTTGCTTAGGAATTGGACCTTCGTGCAAGGTGAGGAAATTGACCCAAGTGACATGAATTGTATGGTGATGTGATAGAGCAGAGCTCTAGAATACAATGTCATGTATTGGGTTGGAGCTCTAAGGATTGCATGGTGATGTGATAGAGTCGTGCTCTAGAATGCAAGGTGAGGAAATTGACCCAAGTGACATGAATTGTATGGTGATGTGATAGAGCGGAGCTCTAGAATACAATGTCATGTATTGGGTTTGTTGGGTAAATGGCCCCGAGCAGGGGTCCGGCCCAATTACCCCCAAACCGACGTACGTCGCCCAGCCCACGGATGGCCCTGGCCTGAAGGAATGAGGACGAATGTCTATCTCCGGGACAACAGCACAAGGTCTCGGCCGAGGGTCGGTTAGCACATCCATGACGAACGTCGTCAGCCGAGGCCCATCTCCGTAGATGGCCCAGGCCCAAAAGATTGTTACGTTCTCAGGAAGGGCCGCAGACGAACGGCCCCCGGTTCTACCAGACGATCGTGGTCAGGAATTAGGCGGGGAACCCAGATTCTGGCGGGAAGCGCATTTAATGCTGGAGATTTGGTGGTTGGGCCACAGCCACTAACAATCCTCCACATCATCAGGACTAACTGCCCATTGGCGGGTATAAATAGTAGCATTTATTTCATTGTAGAGGGTGGGCAACTTTCTATTCTTAGCATCTAGCTATTGTATTCTTACTCGGAGCATTTCTACTGCCTTGTAAGACGAACGGCCGACGTGCCCTTTTTAGCAAGTAGATTGTACTTAGGGGAGTTATTACGAAGTTAATAATACCTATTTACATTGCCTGCTATTACTGTTGTTTCCTGATCCATCTCATAGTTGTTGGGCTAGATATCCTTACACTTACTCCACTCGAAATCTTTGGGCTTACGTGTTGGGTCCAAGGGTTGAAGGAATAAACTTCAACACTGGCGCCGTCTGTGGGAAACTGAGCAAAAAGTTTCCAGAAACTCTCCCAAACAGCTACTAAGTCTACCTACAGCAAACACGATGTCAGGAAGCAACAACCAGCGTGATCTCTCCGAGCGTCTGGAATCAAGCCGCCGGAATCGCGGCCAGAACTCGGAACTGTCCGCAACAATATGGACCTCCGGGGGAAACGGGGGGTATCACTGACCTCATTCCTCTGGAGGCCAGGCAGGATCCCCGCCTCATGCGGGAACTCGCAGACACCATGCGTCGCTTGGCAGACGAGCGGGAGGCCCGAGACCAGGTGTACTCTGCAAGCACCCAGCGAACGCCCCTCTCTCCCATACGCCGCATGCAGTCGTATGACGATACGACAGGATCCAGCGACCACCGGCCCTCAGTCCACGAGCGGCTAGGTGGGGGTTCAGGCTCCCGTGGAACGGGGAGGGCGAACCAGAATCAGCATCGCCACATCCAGGGCTCACACACCATCGGTCCCCCGCCAAATCCCGCGGGGAGACGAGACCCCGAGGATCAACATCGTTGGACGACGTTTCCAACGGCGAGGTGCGCAGATCTTTAGGCGGCCGCACGATGCTGTGGCCACTCAGCAGAATGCCGTCCCCGAAGCCGCGCCCCCTGTGTCCCCCAGAAGGGCCGCACAGGATGCAAGGTTGGAGGCCATGGAAAGGCAGATAGCCGAGATGAATAGGCGGGCGGACGTTGGCTCGGCCACACCCTCTTTCTCTCTCACATCTCCCTTTACTCCACGGGTGATGAGCGTCGAGATTCCCCGGGACTGCAGGCCCCCGGGCAACTTGGTGTACAATGGGGCTGGCGATCCCAAAGCCCATCTGATAAGCTACCAAGGGAACCTGTCCATGCTGGGAGCATCAGACGAGGCCATCTGCAGATTGTTCTTCAGCACCCTCAGGGGGCCGGCGCAAGAATGGTTCGGCCAGTTGAGGCCAGGCACCATCGACTCATATGAACAGCTCTCCCAGCAGTTCATGGCGCAGTTTGCCGCCAGTACCACCCCCAGGAAGGACGTCACGGCTCTCGCCCACATCAAACAAGGGCGGGACGAACCGCTGGCTAGGTTCCTGGTAAGGTGGAGGGACGAGGTCCTACAGGTCGACGATCTGGACGAACGTCTGGCCACCAACATGTTCACCAGTGCGCTGGCCACAGGGGATCTATACCGGGACCTAAGGAGGAATCCCGGCACCAGCTACACCGAGGTTCTGGCCCGGGCCCAGAAGTATGCCTCCATTGAGGAGGAGATCAGGCAGCGGGACGGAGTCTCCGCGGCCCAGCCACGAAAGATGGCGGACAGGCTCGGACCCGAGCCAGGAACCGGGCCCTCCCCCCCAAACAAAAAGAAAAAGGTGGACGGGGCAATGGTCCCTTGGAAGGCTCCGTCCGGAGACAGTCAAACGCGGCCGGACGACCGCTATTTTCCCTTGGCCTATCCAGTGAGCCAAATCTTCGAGGCCATCAAGGACAAGGGCCTCCTGGTGGAGCCCCAAGACATGAAGAAGCATATGGGGCACGACCAATCGGCCTACTGTGAATACCATCAGAGGGCCGGCCACCTGACAGACAATTGCAGCCAATTGAGGAAGGCAATTGACGAGCTGATCCGCCAGGGGTACTTGGGCGAATTCACCCAGCTGCTGAACAAAAACAGCCAGCAGAAGCCGAACCCCAGGCACAGGACATGGCGCCGCGACGACCGGCGCGAGGCGGAACCTCAGGACGTGGATTATCGGAGTGCAGATAAACGTCCGGAGGGATCCCTTGGCCCGAAGGGCAAAAAGAAGAAGTTGGAGATCAAGGTGATCTTCGGGGGCGCCGAGACAGGGGATACACCCGCCGAGCGGAAAAAATTTGAGAGATCACTCTATGTGGGTTCCGTATCAGCACCCCCCGCTAAGCGCAACAAAATCGAGGCGATCACCTTCGGTCCCGCCGATCTGCCAATGTCACCAGCGCCGCACAGAGACGAGCTGGTGATCAGCATGGACGTGAACGATGCCATCGTCCGCCGCGTCCTTGTGGATACCGGGAGCAGTGTGAACGTCCTCTACTGGGAGGCTTTCGAGGGAATGAAGCTCAGGAAGGACATGCTGCACCCTCTGCGCACCCCGCTGTCCGGCTTCACCGGGGATTGTATTGACGCTGAGGGCACCATCATCTTGCCAGTGGAGGTCGGCGACGGCCCCCACACCGCCCGGATCGGAATGACGTTCGTCGTGGTCCGCCTGAAGTGCGCCCACAACGCCATTTTGGGCCGACCCGGCCTAGAAGACTTGGGGGCCATATGCTCCGTACGGCACTCATGCATCAAATTCCCCACCGACACTGGAGTGGGAGTAGCACGTACGGACCCGCATATGGCCAGAGCCTGCTACACAAAGGCCATGGAGAAGCTCAACGAGCGGGAGGCTCGGGTCAACAGCATCTCCGAGAAGGCCAAACAAGCCGACTTGGACGCTCATCTGGAACCAGCAACTCTGCTGGAGGAAATTGAACTCGACGATCCGACGGACAGGAAGGTGTCCATTGGTGCGGATCTAGAGCCGGAAATCAGGGCAGGGGTCATAGCCGTCCTCCGGAGGTTCAGGATCTTGTTCGCCAGAGGGCCGGAGGACATGCCGGGCATCGACCCCAACCTCATATGCCATAAACTCGCCGTGCGGCCGGATGCCAAGCCTATACAACAGAAGAAGAGATATATGGCGGCCGACCGACGCGATTTCATCAGGAAGGAAACAGCAACTCTCCTCGGCATCAAACATATCCGGCCAGTCATCCACGTGGAGTGGTTGGCCAACGTGGTACTAGCCCCAAAGGGCGACACGTGGCGGATGTGCGTCGATTACTCGGACCTCAACAAAGCTTGTCCGATGGACCCTTACCCTGTCCCGAGGATCGACCTGCTGGTGGATGAGACAGCAGGCTGCGAGCTGCTCAGCTTCATGGACGCATTCAGGGGCTACCATCAGGTGTTCATGCACCCCGATGATGCCGAAAAAAACGGCGTTCGTTACGGCGGACGGCGTGTATTGCTACATCGTCATGCCTTTCGGCCTGAGGAACGCCATGGCTACTTTTCAGAGGATGATTGGGATGTTGTTCAAGGACGTACTTGGAAAGACAATGGAAGCTTACGTGGATGACATCCTGATCAAAAGCAAGAAAAAGGAGGACCATGTCCAGGACATGGAGAGGGTCTTCAGCATCATGGAGAAGGCCAGCATGAGGCTCAATCCGAAGAAGTGCGCCTTCGCCGTCAGGGGCGGCAAGTTCCTCGGCTACATGATGAGCGAGCGGGGGATCGAGCCTAACCCGGAGAAGGTGAAGGCGATTATGGACATGGAAGCCCCAAAGAACCTAAAAGACGTGCAGCGGCTCACCGGGCGTCTGGCGGCCCTGAGCAGATTCTTATCCAAGCTGGCTGATAAGGCGATTCCCTTTTTTCAGATCATGAAGAAGGCCAACCCCTTTCAATGGACCCCGGAGTGCCAAACTGCTTTCGAAGATTTCAAGGTATATCTCTCCTCCCCGCTCGTCCTCACCAAGGCAGATCCCGGGGAGAGATTATACATGTACTTGGCAGTAGCCGACCTGGCCGTAAGTGCCGTGCTGCTGAAGGAATCTGAAGGCGTTCAGCGGCCAATATACTTTGTAAGTAAGGCGCTGAACGGTCCCGAGACGAGGTACACACTGATGGAAAAGACGATCCTCGCCTTGATTGCATCCATCAAGCGCCTGGCACCGTATTTCCAAGCACACCCGGTGACTATCTACACGACGCAGCCCCTCGCCACAGTCCTCAGGAACACAATGGCAAGCGGAAGGATAACGAAGTGGTCCTTGATGATCGGCCAGTATGACGTGGACTTCAAGCCGAGGCCGACGATCAAAGGGCAGGCTCTGGCGGACTTCATTGCGGAATGCACCGCGCGCACCGAGGACGGAACCCATGACAACAATGACTTTGACGATTGGTGGGAAATGTACACCGATGGGGCCTCGAGTGCGCGGGGCTGCGGCGGAGGAGCAGTGATCACTTCCCCCGAAGGTTTCAAAGCCTACTACTCTATGAAATTTGAGTTCAAGGTCACCAACAACGAGGCTGAGTACGAGGCGCTTATCGCAGGGCTGAAATGCGCAAAAGCCCTCGGAGCAGCTCGTCTGAAGGTGAGAATGGACAGCCAGCTGGTGGTAACCCAGATGAACGGCACTGCTGAAACCAGGGAAGAGAGAATGAAGGTCTACAAAGAGCTGGCGGAGGAACAGACTGCACAATTTGAGCAGGTGGTGCTTGAGCAGGTATCGCGGGTGGAGAATGCAGAGGCGGACATTCTGTCAAAACTAAGCAACCCCCCAACCGATGACCCGACATCAAGCATCCCCCGACACATCAGAGGCTTCGTTAGGCAGGAGGTATTCCCAGCACCGGCGACGGACGTCATCCAGGTAGAGGTTATCTCCGTTGCCGAACCTAACTGGGCAACGGAGATAGCAGATTATCTCATAGATGGGACACTCCCTGAGCCTGAAGGTGATGGCAGTACAGGAAGAGCCGCGTGGATAAAGAGGCGTGCCCCTAACTTTGAACTCATTGATGGGCAACTTTACAAGAAGACGTTCGGCGGACCCTACCTCAGGTGCCTCCCGCCGAGCCTGGCAGCGGCGGTAATCGAGGAAATACATGAAGGGATCTGCTCCAGCCACCAGGGCCCCCGAACCTTGGCCAGAAAAATCATCCTGCAGGGCTATTACTGGCCGACCATACAGCAAGATTGCTTCAACCACACGCGGAAGTGCGCAGTGTGCCAGCAGTATGCACCTGTCCCTGGCCGCCCAGCGAGTTTCTACACCCCGATGACCATCGCGCTACCTTTTGCTAGGTGGGGCGTAGACCTGCTGGGTCCTCTGCCAACGGCTGCTGGTGGAAGGAAGTTCGTCATTGTGGCGGTTGATTATTTCACGAAATGGGTCGAGGCCGAACCATTGGCCTCCATCACTGAATTCCAGTGCCAGAAGTTCGTCTGGCAGAACATCATTTGCCGCTTCGGGATCCCGGAGCAGATCATCACAGACAACGGTCGGCAGTTCGTCGGCAGAGGCTTTGAGGCATACTTGGCGAAGTGGGGCATCAGGCACTCTAAGGCCTCGGTGGCCTACCCGCAAGCCAACGGCCAAGTGGAGAACATGAACCGGACCATCATGGACGGGATCAAGAAGAAGTTGGAAGACTACACCTCCACCTGGCCGGAGCAGCTGAATTATGTCTTATGGACGTACAGGACGACGCCAAGAACGGCGACTGGGGAAACCCCCTTTGCCTTGGCTTACGGATTCCAAGCTAAGGTACCGACGGAGGTACTGGTACCTACCCATCGCACCAAGCACTTCCAGCCGGAGGACAACGAGATCAACCTACGAGCAGAGCTCCATTTCATCGAGGAACGGAGGGACCTAGCGGCTCGTCGCATGGAAGAGTATCACAGGGCCACCCAGAGATACTTCAACAAGGCCGTGAAATTCCGCGAAATAGAGGCCGGGGACCTCGTACTCAGGAAAAGAGAGAAGAGCAAGCCGCTCGAAGGCGGCAAAATGGCGAAGAACTGGGAAGGACCTTACCGGGTCATCAGAAGATATAACCAGGGGACGTTCCTCCTCCACACCATGGAGGGGAACCATGCCGGGATGTGGAACGTAGAGCACTTGAAGAAGTTCTATCAATAGTTAGGGGCTGTTGTCCTTGTATTATTCCCACTACCATGTAAAATGGCCGGACGTCGTCAATAATAAGGCCCCTGTTTTTTCATCAATTCTGTTCTTGCCAACAACCGTTAAAGAAGGGAATCTCGATGTAGATAAACCTGTTCCTCCTTGTGATATCTGCGGATACCGAACGTCTCCTCGAAGTAGGGACGCCGGTGGGACCAGGGACCAAGGACGAACGAAGCACCAGGGAATCTCGATGCAGATAAACCTGTTCCTCATTGAGATGTCGGCGGATACCGGACGTCTCCTCGAAGTAGGAACGCCGGTAGGACCAGGGACCAATGACGAACGAAGAGTATGGATTGCCTCCACCAAAAAAAAAAAAAAAAAATGGGGAGAAGAGGAGAGGAGCTCCTATGTAGAAGGGAATCTTGCCCGGGTGTGCCAGATCTTCTCCAACCGCCGAAGACGAACGCCTCTCGGTGTAGAGGTTAGTAGAGACGCGGAGGGGGCTAGACGAACCAAGGGAGCCTGCCAAGATAAACCTGTTTATCCCACAAACGACCATGGATCGATGGACGTGGGGTAACAAAGTCGGGGACCCGTGAGGGTAGACCTGTTCGTCCCTGCGAGTCCTTGGGTACCGAACGTCCTCTTCGAAGCAAGAGGCGTCGGTAAGGCTAAAAGGACCACGGACGAACGAAAAAAGGGGGGAATCTCGATGTAGATAAACCTGTTCATCCTTGCGATGTCGGCGGACACCGAACGTCTCCTCGAAGTAGGGACGCCGGTGGGACCAGGGACCAAGGACGAACGAAGACTAAAAGACTCCAAAAAAAAAAAAAAAATGCCAGAAGAGCAAGGAGCAAAGAATGATTTTTTATTCTTCGGCACTATTGGCCGGAAAATTACAAGACAATGGAAATAATGGGAAAAATTGTACAAGTACAAGGTCATGAACAGAGAATCACTTTCGATCGACGTCCGGAGCTGGAATTTTGGAAAGAGCCTGCTTGCATTCTTCACTAGCTTTGGCTTCCGCCTGCTCCTTCAGCAGCTCGAGGGCCCCCGCATGAGCGTCCGCCATCAGAACATCAAAGCCAGCCGCCTCCGGATCGAAAGGAGCCCCGAAATGACGCTCGAACGTGGGGAGATTCTCCGCTACGAGCCCAACCATGCCCTTGCGATAAGTATCATCGGCAAGATCATCAAGGAAACGCCGTCCGGTGGGGGTGGCCTGGAGCAATTTGACCCCATCCAGATAGGCATCCGGGCAGGTGGCTAGAAATTCTCCGACGAGCCTCGGGAGAAACTTCATGGCCATGGTGTGAATGGCACCTGTGTAAGCTTTGGATTTCTGGAAGGCAATGGAACCAGACTCCTTGATTTTGGCAACATCGGCCTCATAAATAGGGACATGGTTGTCCATGCCCGTCCGGCGAAGCTCCACCTTGGCCTGCTCTACGGCCCACATCCGGCTGCGGAGATCCACGAGCTCGGCCTCCTGCTTCTTGAGAAGCTCCTTCTGAGAGGCATTCTCCTGAACGAGCTTATCATAGGCCTCGGCTTTCTCTTGAAGGGTGCCAGCCCTGCCTTTTGCATTCCTCAGAAGGGCATCACATTCAGCCCGTACTCTAGCCATCTCCCTGCCCTGGCGCTCGAAGGCCATCCGAGCCCTATGGAAGTAGAGCCCGGCCTTATCCAGCGTGCTCTGGCCGCACTCCAAGAGATCTTCAGGGGCCTCCTGAGCAGCGAAGTCCTGCGGAACCTTGAGATTCAGCCCACACCAGATGGAGGACGCTGTCTGGCCGAAGAGCATCATTGACTCTTTGCGGGGACCAACCCCGGAGAACTCAATCAGTCCAAGAGAAGACCCACTGGCTTCGGGAGGCGAGCTTGGACGAGCGTCGTCAGAACCCTTGGCAGCTTGGGCATCATCGTCCCGGAGACGGCGGACGTCGGAATTCTGCGGGGGGAGAAGCACGAAGATGGGGCCGGGAAGTGGGTTTCCGCTTGAGGGGACTTCCGGGCTCCCCATCGGAGTCATCGGCCACAATGATGGCCTTGGAGGAGGTGCCCTCAGCACGTGGCCTCTTGGAGGCGCCGGCCCCCGAAGCGTCATCAGCTCGTGCCCTGGTCACCCGAGGTTCGACCTTGGGGACGAGCGGCTTCCCAGGCTTGTCATGCCCCTTGTGCTCACGGCCGGCGGCAGTCGAAGCAGCGTTGACTCGGCTCATCGTAGACGTGGAGGGAAAAATTCCTGCACAAAGGGAACCAAGACGTTCAGAGCCATAACAGTGGAGAGAGGTTAAAACAATACAAGTACAAACGGACGCACCTAACCCAGCCCGAGCTTTGAAAGGCTCGGCCACCAGCAACCGGAGGTTCTGGATGCCAAGTCCGGCTATGCGCTTGGCATATCCGAGCTCCTCGTCCGTCATGGGCGGCGGGATCGTCTTCACCGGGTAAGCATTCCACCGGTCAGAGAATGGCATCGGTGAGCCTACTCCGGCCAGGAAGAAGCGCTCTTCCCAACCATCCGGATTCCCAGCATTGTTTGAGAATAGGACCATGGACGGACGGGCGATCAGGGTCAGATACCCCGTGCGTCCGAAGGGGGACAGCCGGAAGAAATGGTGCAGCAGGTCCACGGTGGGGGTCACACCGACGCTGTGGCATCTAATAATGAAGCCAGCGATTATCCGATAGGCGGCAGGGACGAACTGCGCAGGCACTATCTCAAGGGCCCTGAAGAGCTCTAAGTGAAAGCTATGCAAGGGAAAGTTCAGCCCGGCTATCACCGAATCCAAATGGACCACCACATAGCCGGGCAGATGGCGCATGGGGTTGCGCAGACGCCGATCGTCGTAGGTCCTTGGAGGATAGAACCATTGGCTGATCAGACGCTTGTCAGCATTCGTCAGGCGTTGGACTTGACGCCGAACGTACGAAAAGCTGAGGCTATAACGGGGAGGCCAGGGCGGCATTCCCCGCTCATAATATTCCAAGTCTTCACCAGAAGAACAACCATCGTCGAGGCGATTTTCGGAGGACATGGCAACGAACGGTACCTTTTGCTTGGGCACTGGGGATAAATCCGGTTCGTAGAAGTTGCTAGAGAGAGAATATATTTCCGCAGCGTATGGGCTAAATGAATCGACGATGACTGATCTCGTGGTATTTGGGCACTTATAAGCGAAATGCCGTAGATCGACACCAACCGCAGGCTGGCACGTGTCCAAATAACACCGGCATAGCAATAACTTTGGAAGGCACCTCGAGCCCCGCGCTTTTGGGGAAGCCAAGAGGCCGCTGACGGATCTTAGAATTCGGGTCTGACGACGGACGTCGACCATAGAACCCGGGATCCCCACAAATTGGGAGGGCAACACCAGACGAACATCGTCGGACACAGTGCCCCGTCCTTCAAGGCAACTCGTACAAATAGCGACGCCTTATTAGTCTTGTAAATCGGCTATCTAAGGTGGCAAGGGCAGGATTAGCTCGAAGGCATACGGCCGAAGGACCCGGGTGCCCAAGGTGCGAGAGGCCTGGCTAGGCAACGGGCGTCTAAGCCAGGAGATGACGACGCCCGGCGGCAAAAAACTACGGGTACGCTACGCGTTATCTGGCTACGTACGGCGTGAGTACATTGAAAGAATAAGGTACGAACACGGCATAAAGACGAACTTTGGCAAAACATGGATTTTTATTCTTCAGCACTATCGGCTGGAAAGTACAAGTCTACACGCTACAGTCGGAAGGAAGGCTAGACTAAAATATAAATCAGCACATATGGGGGGACGATGGCCGGCTCCCGGCATGAGTGTGCTCTTCCACCTGAGGCTCGGGCTCAGGGGTTGGGGGTTCCGGGATATCCCCCATGGCTATGGCCGCCGCTCGGCGCCTATCCCGCCTTATTTTCCCCAGGGCTTCGATCAGCAGGTCCTCTTCCGTATGATCGGCCGGGTTGACGTCAGGGCCCAGAAGCTTCTCAAAGATGGGGAGAAAGGCTTTGACCCCTTCGCTATAGCCACCGGCGAAGGCGCTATCAGCAGAATCATAAAGGAATTGGCGCGCTAAGGGGGAGCTTCCCATTAGCCGCACGCCGTATTTCAGACGATCCTTCGCCGGGACCTTCTCCAGGGCATGAGAGAACACGTCTCCAAAGGCCCCAGCGCAGAAATCCTTGGCCGAGTCCATGAACTCGCCAGTATTCCGGTAGCCGGAGGTATCAACGCACCATTCCGGGATAGCACCCTTGGGGGCCGGAAGCACCGGCATAAGCTTGAAGCCGGCCTTCTCCAGGCAGGCCAGTTGGGCGCCAGTTTCAGCCTGAAGGGACCGAAGCTCCTCCCTGGCTGAGGCAGCCTCTTCTTCTGCCCGACGGGCGACCTCCCGAGCCTTCAATATGGCGGCATCAGCCTTGCTCCTCGCCTCCTGCAGGGCGGCCTCCCTGGCAGCCTCGGCTTGCAGCACCAACAGCCCTGACTGTAAGGAATGGGATGAACGGAAGTTAGATGACGAAACGACGGGCGTCAGGGAGACAAGGTGAGTCGAATCGCGACAATACCTGGATGGCCGCTGCCAGAGCGGCGCTGGTCGCTTCAGAAGACGACCGGGGGGGCCAGTTCGAGGCCGGCCTTGGCCCCAAGCTCCCTCCAAAGCTCTTCCGCCGGCCGGCTCAGGGAGAGGCCGTTGGCATCTTCAACAACGGGGCCGGAGGAAGAGCAGTCTCGCCCCCTCTTCGGCTTCTTTTCTGGGGCCCTCTCGCCCCCTTTCTTGGGAACCACCTTCGTTGTGACGACCGGCGGGGGGAGAGCAGATTCAGCATGGTGAGGTATGGCCCCCTCATTCAGGAGGGTGGCAATCAGATGCTGCTCACCATCTGCAGTCCGACGGGCGGCGTCAGAGGCAGACGATCCGGCACCATGGGCGGCGGCCTCCCTGGCCGCTTTGGCCGCAGCCATCTTCGCCTTCCTGTTCCTCAGGCACTCGGCGTTGTCCATCTGGTCGGCGGTAAGAGGAAGACCTGCAAGAGAGAAATACAAGAATGTGAAAAGACGAACAGGGATAGGGAGGAACACCCACCTCAGAGGACAGGACCGCCCGTGCCCCGAGACGAGCGTCCAAGGGGGGAAGGAATCCAGGAACACGGGCGGTACCTATGCCTGCTTCAGAGAGTGCCTCGGGGGTCAGGTATTCTCCTATGGGGCGAATGCCGCCTTCCAGGACTTTGTTAACTTCCGCCTCCAGCTCGTCCGTCAGCACCGGCGACTCGATCTTTGGGGGGTAACCGTTCCAGCGGATCGGGAGGGGAGGACCATCATATCTAAGGAAGAAGAGCCTATTTTTCCAATCATGGATGGAGGAAGGATAGTGCTCGAACAGCTTCCTCTTCGGACGAGCGGCCACACTCAGATAACCGTCGGAATTCTGCGGGGTGACCCGGTAAAAGTAGTGAAACAGATCCAGGGATATGCCGGCTTCCGCGGACGAGCAGCGCACGAGGAATGCGGAGATAAACCTATAAGAGTTGGGCATGAACTGCGCCGGGACCGCCTGGTAGCAGTTGAAGAACTCCACGTAAAAAGGGTGGAGGGGAAACCGCAGACCGGCCTCTACGGAGTCCACATGCAGGATGATCATCCCCGGCTGTCGCCGCATGGCATGTTCAGCCCCGCTATGGCTAAAGACGAACGGATGGGGGAA